TGTGATTTTATGGATGGAAAAAACAGAGGCATAAAAGTCTCACTGCTTATAACCCTGTTAGCAGCAAACTAAGATAAGCGCTCCAGCTTCTTCTCTGTCTCCATTAGCAACATTCTTCTTCACAGCTCTGTAAAGTTTTGTTGCACCTGCCATTTGGCGGAATGGGAATAGGTCTCCATTTACATAAAATGGAGAGTTTATAAGTGTAGTAAAGACTTAATTAACAGCAAAATACAACTTCAAACAGTTTTCCACACCCAAAAAGCAACATAAATGCCTTGTAGAATTTAATAATAGAATTTATAGAATTAAATAGAATTTAATAATATCCAACATGGCTACTTTGTCATTACCTTGCATTTTATCTTTAAAAAAAAGAAATTTAATCTTCCTCTTTCCGTATGTCTTATAGTCCTAGTGTTGTGTTTTATCATATAAACTACAGGTAAAAAGGTACCATGTTAGAGCTAAATGGCACTGAAGTTTATGAAAATAAGTTTATGAATATAAAATTAGACCTTCCCAGATTACATAAATGAGGATACATCCATGTATCTTAGGTATTATAAGATGAACTTTTTCACTTAACAAACCTATTAAATTTATTATGCAATTATAAAAATAGCATAGTGTTGTAAAAGCTACTGAGTAGAAGCCATGGCTTCTGTTTTCACACCTTGAGAGCTGTAGTTACCTCAGTTGCTGGGTCTGTCCCCAGAACCTTGAGCCAGCACCAGTGACATGACCTGAGGAGTCCCAACTCCTGGTGCCCAGTTCCATTACCAGGGCTGCCCCTAACCCTTGCCCGCCAGCTTCCTCAGATTATGACCTTCTCCAAGGCCAACCCACATGAAGCAAAGCCATGGCACCACTACCCACTCCTGTAGGCCTTCAGGATAAGGAGCAGCAGTCTCTAGATAGCCTCCCTGCTAGGAGAAGGTGGAAACCCAGGAGAACCAAGGGTCCACCATCCTCCTGAAGACTCTCAGCATCATCCACCCTTATTTCTTCTTTTCCTTAGTCATCACCAGAAGTATAAGTCCCTCCATCTGTTTTCTCTCATATTTCATTCCCTTAATGCTCTCTGTCTCCTTCCCTTCCTCCCAAGCCCTCTTAATATACCACTTTGTACTTCCATGACCAACTCACTTTGTCTAACTAGGTTCTGCTCATCCTTAGGAGCTCGATTCAAACATGACTTTCTTAAGACACGTTTTCTGATGCTTCAAACTAGGTGAGATCTTACCTATTAGATGCTTCCATTACTACTTACCCCTCTACTTCACATCACTTATCACACTCAACATTACTTGTTCAAAGTTTGCTTTCTCATATAGATTGTAACCTCCATGAAGGCAGGAATTATATCTGTCTTACTCACACTGTTATGTCACCAGAATTTAACACAGGAACTGGCACATAACAGGAATTCAATAGATGTTTATGGAATAAAAGAAAGAGGAAAGAGGTGAGCAGTGAGAAGAAATATGTTCCCAAGTTAGACCTCTGAACATCTTTTTCAAGAGAAACATCACGATCATATGATGTTGGCTATACCTCAACTAAAACATAGGTTAGGGGCCGGCCTGGTGGTGTAGTGGTTAAGTTTGCACACTCCGCTTCTGCGGCCCAGGGTTTGCAGGTTTGGATCCTGGGTGCAGACTGACACACCACTTGTTAAGCCATGCTGTGGTGGCATCCCATATAAAGTAGAGGAAGATGGCGCAGATGTCAGCCCAGGGCCAATCTTCCTCAGCAAAAAGAGGAGGACTGGCAACGGATGTTAGCTCAGGGCTATTCTTTCTCACAAAAACAAAGCAAAACAAAACAAAAACCATAGATTATGTGGCTCTTTGTGTGCTGGCTGGCCTGGTGGTTAGAATAACCACTTTAGCTCATTATTTCTGCAAAGAAAAGTGCTGTGAGTTCCAAGCACACGTTGATAAAGAAATTTGTAGGATGGAACTTTCCATTCTGTGGGCTGGAGCACTAATCCTCCAGACGTGTCTAGCGCTTTAGAGCATCTGAAGCCCTTTTATCTCCACTGTCCGAACTGATTCTCATGACAGCTCTCTGAAGTCATTAACCCAGCTCAAAGTATATTTACTTAGCAGCATGCCCTAAGCCCTGTACTGGGTGATACGGACCCAAAGGAAAGAAGATATGATTTCTCCTCCCAGTAGCTCACATTCTAGATACACAGGAAGGATTCCCAACCTCATTTTGCACATGAGGTTACATGACTTGCCTGAGGTCACACAGTCATGAGTAATGGTACCTGCCTGCTGCTCTGATACCCCTCCGTTGATAAACTTCTGGATGCTACACTGCATAGATTAGGTACAATGAAAAGTTAAAACAAAAGCAGTCCCTTTTATGTTTTAGTTCTTTTTAAAAAGTCTTCTTAAAAACATCCTATCCATCCTTGTGTGGTTTATGATAAGCCTAGACTTAAAAGAACCCCTGTTTTATTTGAGACAGATGCTGGCAGGTGGAGAAGGGCATGTAGGAAGAGCTTAGGCACATTGCCAATTGCTTATATTGAAGCCCTGGAGGGTAAGGCCTGTGGAGGGTAAGGCCTTCGTGGTGCCAAGTACAGGAAGCGCAACTTCCCTCCTTTCCCGAGGCCTCTGAGGAGCTGGAGAAACCAGTCAAGGGGCCCTGAGGCTAGCTCCCCAGCATCAAGGTGTAGGTCCTTGCTCCATAATGGGGCTTGGCTGCTTAAACTGCCCCTGCTTTCCTCTGGCCAGCTGCCCAGGCCAGATGATGCAATCATTTACTTGAAGGTACCTGCATTACAAAACAGCACTGAGGGCCCTTGACTGATCTGGGAGGCCTAGCTAAGGATCGAGCGAGGCCTGCGAGCTGTCCGGAGCTGTCTAGAGCCAAATCCACTGAGGAGGCAGCCACAGCACCACTCTGTGTGACTCCGAGGCTGCTGTTCACAGGATCAGAACTGCCTAAATGTCTCAGGAGACCAGCCCTTCCAAATGGACTGCAGAAGAAAGGATTCTCTTAAGTCTCAGATCTGGAGTAGGGGCAAGGAGGAGATGAGCTATGAACCAGACAGCAGTTGGCAGAGAAAGGCAGAGAGAAGAGGAGAGCTGGATAAGCACGGGGCATGGAAAGTGGTTGATGTCACCATAACCCTGTCACTCAGCATTATCAGCTTCCTTCAATACTGGCTTGAGGGGCCGACCCCGTGGCGTAGCGGTTAAGTGTGCGCGCTCCGCTGCTGGCAGCCCGGGTTTGGATCCCGGGCGCACACCAATGCACCACTTGTCAGGCCATGCTGTGGTGGCATCCCATATAAAGTGGAGGAAGATGGGCACAGATGTTAGCCCAGGGCCAGTCTTTCTCAGCAAAAAAAAGGGGAGGATTGCCATGGATGTTAGCTCAGGGCTGATCTTCCTCACAAAAAAGAAAAAAAATACTGGCTTGATACTGGATCAAAGAAACACAGGGGCCTCGGGGTGATTTGACCTGGGCTCAATTCCCCACTCTATCTACGTGACTGGCTTGCTATGTGACCTCGTGCAGGTTACTTAACTTCTTGGGCCTCAATTTCCTCATCTATGAAGAAAATATCAAAATATTTATCTTGAATGGTTTATATGAGAATTAAGCAAGACTATTTATTCATTTCATAAATATTTATTGAATGCCCACTGTCTGCCAGGGACATTTCCAGGCACTAATGATCAACAATGAACAAAGCAGACAAAAATCCCCCAAATCTCTGCCTTTAGGGAATTACATTGTCTACTTCCACCCAGTACAATAAATACATCATAAGATGTCAGATATTGATGACAGTTTTGGAGAAAAATAAAGCAGAGGAAAAGTGGGTTCCAATTATAAATAGGAGTGTCAAGGAAGGCCTTGCCGAAAAGATGATATTTGAACAAAGATCTGACAGAGGAGAAACAACGTATGCAACAGCATCTGCACAGTGCCTGCCGGGGAATAAGTACTGTGATTTTTTTTAAGATTTTTATTTATTTATTTCCCCCCCCCAAAGCCCCAGTAGATAGTTGTATGTCACAGCTGCACATCCTTCTAGTTGCTGTATGTGGGACGCGGCCTCAGCATGGCCGGAGAAGCAGTGCGTCCATGCGCGCCGGGGATCCGAACCCTGGGCTGCCAGCAGCGGAGCGCACGCACTTAACCGTTAAGCCACGGGGCCGGCCCAGTACTGTGATTTTTGTATTGTTACCATCATCATAATTGTTATAATTATTATTCACATTCTTCTTAGTTTCCCAGAAAAATGGCTAATCTAGAACAGAAACAACTCAAAACATTGATATTAATACTACTACTAATAATGATAATAATAACTATATCAACCAAGATTTGTTGAACACTTTACTCTTTACAAGGTCTGAGTTATAGAACCTGACTCCAGAAGAATAACTTTTCCAATTCGTGGCTGTAGGAAAGATTCTTTTAAAATGCTGATTAGGTTTTATTTATTTTTTTATAATTTTATTTGTTTTTTCCCCCAAAGCCCCAGTAGATGTATGTCATAGCTGCACTTCCTTCTAGTTGCTGTATGTGGGACGCGGCCTCAGCATGGCTGGAGAAGCGGTGCGTCGGTGCGTGCCTGGGATCCGAACCCGGGCCGCCACCAGGGGAGTGCGCACACTTAACTGCTAAGCCACGGGGCCGGCCCTGAGTAGGTTTTAGATTAAAAAGGCAGTAATCAAACTTACATGCTCTAGATAGCTGATTGTATATTTCTCTCATTTTCAGTTAATTCCTTTTCGAGAAGTCTCCAAAACTAAAATAAAAAGGTAATTCAAGGTGCTACCAAGTTAACTCAAGAAATTCTAAGTTATATCAGAAATCATTTTGCATGATCTTGGAACAATCACTTCACCTCACTGGATCTTTATTTTACACTTTATTTTATTGCTTATAAAATAAAGTAACTAGATGGTTATCTAAGATCCTTTCTTAAAAATGGTTTTGTTCTATGACTAATATTAATTACTTACTCAATGGAGACGATGACAGCATTCAATTCCTCGGCCATTGCTGTACACAGTTCATCATAATACCTGATTTCTAAAAGAGACAGAGGAGCAATCACTATAAAACAGGTTATTTAATACCATCCACTCTTTTTTTTTTTTTGTGAAGAAGATTAGCTCTGAGTTAACATCCGTTGCCAATCCTCCTCCTTTTGCTGAGGAAGATTGGCCCTGGGCTAACACCTGTGCCCATCTTCCTCTACTTTATATGGGACACCGCCACAGCATGGCTTGATAAGCGGTGCATATGTCTGCACCCGGGATCCGAACCTGCGAACCCCGGGCTGCCGAAGCGGAGCATGCGAAATTTACCACTACACTACCGGGCTGGCCCCATTAGGATTTCTTAGAAAGAGGATTCAAAGGTTTGCAGTGACAGAAGCAATTTTAATATGGAAAAATTTAATCCTTTAACTGTTCTTCCCATAAATTAAGAGCTGGATTGTGTCAAGAGAAAATCAAATATTCCCTTATTTATAGGCTTTCCAAGGCAGTCTTAGAATCAGAAGTTTAATAACTACATAACCACCTGCATACCTCCCCAACCCAAGCTCTTCCTCCAACAGGAGTGATCAGTCAAAATTATGTGGAAAAGGCCAGGGTGACTCGTATAATCCACACCATTCCTGGCACCTACACTTCCTGGCCTCTAATGTAATATCTGGCCTAGCAAGTGTCCAATGCTACTGACTCAATCTTTTCCAGGGCAGAGACTCTGTCTTATTCATTTTTATATCCCCATCCTCTAGCACAAATTAGGGTAATCAAAGGTCCCGGTTTACACATAACTGTTTGCGTTTTTGTACTGAAAGTATGAAACCCCTCAGTCCTCGGCAAACCTACACACTCAGCAAATATCTGTTGAAAACGTGAACAAATCAGTGAATAAAAGAATAAATGATGAATACAGAGTTAAGTGTAATGGGATTACTAGAAAAAGTTATACTTTTTAGCCTTTGCTGCCTTAGAAAAATAATGTGTTATTAAAAAAACCAAAGAAACTAGAACAAGTTGCCCTTGCATTTAAACTTAGCAGATGCCAAAAACTCTGGGCTGAAGATGAAGTAACTCTGTGGTAATTACAGGAAGAGACAAGGCCCTTACATCCTCCTGAGTAGGCTTTCTGCTGGGCTGTTCCACTTCGCCGCCTGCCATTTTGAACGTGTTCTGCTCATGAAGTTATCCAATGCTACAGAGAATATTCTTAACCTTTGCAAGATCATTTCCTTTTAGTGGTGGCACACCTTTTATATTTTCACCTTTGGTTTCACAAGCAGATGAAATGTTGATGAGTTAACATGTGTACTCAGAGATACTTGTTCTGTTTCATAGATTTCTTCAGAACACAAATTGGCAAAAGAGCTACAGATAATTGCCTCATATTCTGGCCCAATGAAACTTCACCTTGTTTTGGTGTAGAAAGCTATGGTCAGCACTTTACCATAAGTTAGTCTATGATTTAGGTCACAGGAAATAATTTCAAAACAGTTTGTCTGAATTAACAAACAAACAGGCAAAAATCTTTGTGGAGGGTAACCACATAATTAATAATCCAAACTAGGACCCTTTCATGTGAAAGGGGGTCAATATTAATAATTTTGCTGGGACAATAGGGGTAACTGAGACTGTCCAGGAGAATCATGTCAAATGGACCCCCTCTCCTTACCCAATAAGAAAGTTCAACTCAATCACACTTCTCTCCCACGGCCAACCACAACCCCAAAGAACCCGAAGGTGACCAGGACATACTCGCGCTTGCCAAAGCCCAGCCTCCTCCATGGATATAAACCACGCTGCGTTTCAGCGGCTCTCCTGGCTTTGGAGAGCCTTCAAACACTCTGACTTCCACACCATCAAAGTCAGTGTCGGTCACCTTCACCTGAGCAGATGACCGTGCGCTTTTCTTGCCAAAAGAAACGATGATAAAATTCAGTGCCAGCAGATGATGGCTCAGGCCCACGTAGTGTATCAGGTTGCTCTGCAGGGTGAGGGAGGGAATAAAAAGGGACAGCACAGTCAACTTCGTCACCACCAGAGCCACACTCACCAACTCTTAGTATTTGCATTCTTAAAGCAACTGCCACAATACTTAAGGGCTCTTTCAATACAAGAAGGAATTGTGTTTACCTTCTACTGTCAGAGCTTCCAAAGCTTTTTCATACAGGAGATCTTTGATGTTGAGATCAGCTCCGAGAGGGAAATGGGACAGGAAATATCAGGCCCATTTTATCGAGAGGGCTTAGAAATTAGCTGACCTTGCCCATTTAGCTGGATAAGCGGCGCTTCTGGGACTCAAACCTAGGAACTGTGAATTCCAGGATTCAGTCCCTTTTTTTCCCACTAAACCAGCACATCACAGTTCCAATAACATACTAGGAGTGGAGGAAGAATTCTTTATTTAAATGCAAATAAAAGAAAGGAAGGTTTCATATTTGCTGTACTTTAAAAGTTTTTTTAAGCTCATTATATATTTATATTATATTAGCTTAAATATTATATATTATACATTTAAGTGTGTCTGGTTGTTTTGAGAGTAGGAGAAAGGAATGAATGTGTGAGAGGGAAGCAGCAGAGTCAACTGCAGCCCTGGCATTTAGAAGCAGACCAGCTCAGACACAACCAGGAGCTTTTCAGAAACATGCAAAGAACATTCAGCCAGCCATCTCTTCTCCTTTGAACCCCGAGGGCGTCAAGCTCCACCTTAAGCGTTCACAGGAAGGTATCTGGTTGGAGATGGAGCCTAGGGAGAAGAGACCCAAGTCATCCACCCAGCAAAGACCCTGCAGCGCGTATTCCCCTCTGTCCACTTCTTACACAAGCTCTTCCTATTAAGTACACTTATAAAACTGACCTCCCTCCAGGGCTTAATGGCCATGTTTCAAAGCCGGAGAATTGGAAGCCAACTTGAAGCTAGTGACTAGTCAAACTAGAGAGGACCAGAAGTGTCAAAGAGTGTTTGGAAACTTTCCTGGCACAGAGCATGAACTTAGATACTGTATCTCCTAGCGGCTCTCAAACCCAGGGAAAGGGAACAGCTGGAGAGTAACAATGCCCTTGTGTAGAACATGAAACAGAACATTGATAGTTAGTGAAATATTTAATGCCATCATAAGATCAAGGAAACAATGTTACTAGCAGAAATCAGGACTATATCAAGTCTGCGATACACCATGATACAGCTTCCCAGCATGTGCACAGGGTACCCTGTGTGCCTTGAAGTGGGCACAGATGTGCTGTGACTGATCCCTCAGCCCCTGGGCAGCCAAGCTCCTGAGCCGTTTACCCCAGTGTCCCATGTAAAATATTATTACTGTATACATATGCCTTGCCATGAAAAGAGTTGGAAAGCACTGAATTATGAAGCCATTAGCCACTGTTCATGAAACACAAGAACAAGAGGCAATTAATCTAGCCATGAACAGCTATTCCAGCAATTCTATTAATACGCATTTGCTGACAATATAAGCAGCAGCAGAGCAAATGAATATTAATAAATTAATTCAACTTCTATATTATCGTTTGCCCAATTTACTGAAAAATTTAACTGTTAATGTTCTTGATATAAAACAAACAAACAAATAAATGTGTGTGTGTGCACGGACATGCACATACAGAGGATTCTAACCATCATTTTAAGGTCTTTGGCAAATTGGGAAAAGGCAATCATCATTTGAGTCTTGTGGTAAAATACCAGTCTAACTTGGGGAATATTGAGATCTGCCAGGGTCGAGCTGAGACTGACTGCTTTCACTCAGATTTCTAGAGTTCCCATGATAAACACTTTCAACATTGTTATCAATTAATAGAGAACACAAAGGGTCCTTCCATTTCTCACAGGACAAGTAGCTTGATAGGCATGAATTAAGAAAATATGAACAAAGAAATGGCAGACTTTGCTCTGTTACTTTCTGGACTGTATTTTTTTTTTTTTTTTAGTTAAATGAAGACTTTATTGAATATTTAAGACAAATTATATATGAGTTCCTTCAGCTATAGGAAAGCTGTAAAACAAGTGAGTTATCTTTACAAAACAGATCGGAGAAGATTGTTCATTTTGCAGAGATTCCACCTCAGGTTTCCTTTGTGTACTGCACGCTCTGAGTGCATGCAGACTTGACTTGATTTGCCCATACCTTTCCAGAAACACTTCTGCTGTGTTAGCCTGTGATCATCTGCATTAACAGAACTTCTGAACAACTATCTGCATTGTTTACAATACTGACAGGGTGGTGTGGGGGCAGAAGTGCTGATTGGAGAAGGGACAGTTGGTTTATGCAGGAAAAAAACATAAGCAGAAGCGGGTAAGAAAGGGTGGATGGGTAGAAAAAAAACTCGGAAAGGTGCTAAAATAAAACTGTGCTAATGTTTGGAATTGTGTTGATCAATTAGAGAATGAAAAATAGTTATCCTAGAGACAATATCGAGATTGATTCTCTCCATTTTCAAATTTTGAAATAAACAGTAATCTGTCTTTAAGTACTTTTATTACTACTATTATTAATAATGGTTATCACTGCCTGAGTGCCTACAGTGCTAGGGTAGGTTGTTGAATTCTGGCTACAGTTCTGTGAGGTACTGTTATTCTACTTGAGAAGAGGAGAGAAAAGAAGCTTAAAGATTAAATAACCAGTGCAGAAGTTGGATTCTGGAAACTTATGAGGGGGCTGCAGAACATACAGAATTGCCCTAGAGATGCTGGTGTAGATCACTGCGGGCCCAGGAAGCTGTTCTGAGTCCTATCCAGTTTGGCGTGACATTCACATGTCTATGTGATGTCATATGGCATGATAAAATTGTGAATATTATCTAACTTTTTTCCTCCAATATCAACTCTTTCTCTTAGCTCTTCTCACTACTCCCCTCCCATCCCTACTGCCCAGCAAATAAAATCAGTAGCCAAGTCTGTCTGTAGTTGTTACTTCAGGGGAGGGTCATGAGAACAAATAGCAAAGAAACAGGAGTGTCTTTCTGCTTTTGCTTTTCAAAAGCCTATATCCTTTGGAGAATTAAAAAATAGACATTGATCTACAAGATTACGTGATGGATAAGAAGTCTCCTAGAATAGAAAATGATTCTCCAAGCTAGGTGGGGGGAGAGGGGAGGAGAAAGTGTTGGAATGAAATGAAGAATGTGTGGATTGATATCTGAGATCCAAAGAAAAAAGCACCTTGAGACACAGTAACCTGCAGACATCTCTGTGAAATCTAAGAGCAGCAGACACGTGCCCCACGCCCAGATAGAAACTTGGAAAGAGGCAAGACTCTAGGGAAGTGTGACTGCAAGGTATGCCTAGGAAGACAGTGCCTCAAACGGCCTCAGAGAGCTCCTCAGGCTCCAGCTGGTGCAGGAGCAGCGGAATGATTCCATGTGACAGAAGAGACCTAAAAGTAGCAAGGGCTGTATGAGTGTCTTGCAGATGGATCTGAGACAACCTCTCCATTATCCAAAATCCATTATACGTTCTCAAGGGTCCAACTGGAATAGAAGAGAGCACTAATGGACTTGAAGGGCTCTTATAGATAAGAAGACAGGATATCCTAGTGCAGCTTGTAAGGATCACACACCAAGGACCAGGTGGAACAATGATGTGGGTTGAGAATAAGTACCCAGATGGCATCCCTCACTCATTATGCCTCAACATTGTATAAGACCCTCCAAAACCTAAAAGCAAACAGCAATGGGGGAATACCTAAATTCACTGGGATTAAGTCCTACCTAAAGAATGAAGGCTCAAAATATAAGATCAAGTTATATTTCTTGCATCCTTGAGTTTGTGAAATGAGATTCAGATCCACCCAAGACACATTCTTGAAAAAGTTTTCTGAAACCTCTTTAGAAGTAGCTGGAAAACTCCAGTAGCACAAAGAAGCAAGCTGAGTGTTAAGAGCCCCACAGGTTGTGAATTGACCCAGTCTTGGCTAGTTGAAGTACTTGAAAGCAGTGCTAGAGGTCTTAAAACTGGCCCCCATAACCATTCCAGGATCTAGGAGGGGAATTCTGCCTAAGGAGAAGGAAAGGGATGAAGAGTACTCATTACACCTCAGTGGAACCTGACACGCAAAACAGGTGGGCCACTGGCTCTCTACCCAGGTCTGACGACTGAAGGTCAGAGGGCAAGCAAGAATCAAAGGAAGCCAAGCAGAAACGGCATTCTGCTTCTTAACATGCAAGTTAGTTGTCAGGTTTGTGAATGGGGCTGTTCTCTGTTAATTCATTCAACATATAAATTAGGGGATATATTCTGTGGGCAGGAAATCTTAAGAGGGAGAGAGAGACAGTCTTCTGGAGCTTAGCGAAATAGAGAAGAACCAAGACTTGTAAATGAATAGCTGATGTTAGTTAGCTAAGTGATACAAGCTTACTAAGAGAGGCCTAGATAAAGGGTTGCACAAGCTCAGAGAAGGAAGGTATTACTTCTGTCTAGTTAGTCAGATAGTCCAATGTTTCTAGGGAAGCTGAGATTATCATTTTTCCCATTATGTACATTTGCTATTAGGACCATATTGATTATCAAGTTCTGAAATGATAATAGGTTAAACAGATGTAAAATAATTATCTCTAAAAAGTTCTTCTGTATGCTCATGTCAAAGGGGAAGGCAGAGGCTGGGGAAAAGCCACAGTACATTGATACTCCAGACACATCAGTAATTAGCATGTGGTCAAATTTCAACAGGAACCAACCACATTAGACAGAACATCTACTGTAACTCACTGCCTGCTTCATTTCTCATGTTCAAATCTTTGTATTCTACGTCAGTGGTTCTCCAACTTTTCCAATAATGGCCATTTCATCCTGTCAAACAGCTTTTTCATTCTGCTCTCCAGATTCTGTTCTACTCCTGCCTATTATAGGAAAACAATTTCATAGAACATTTATCTGCATGAAAATTATAGTTATATTTCTTAAATGTTGTAAAGTTTGTGTGTACTTTTAAATGCAGATTTAATTTTTTTTTATTGGCAGGCAAATTACATGAC